GTAGGCCACAAGGGTGGTGGAGTGAGCGGGTCCTGAAGTAGTATAGCCGCTCGGGCTCAAACCCCTGCCAAAAATTTTTCTTGAAGTCAGTCCTGTAATAAACAATGAGTAGGTGAAAACATAACAGCACAATGAAGGTTTTAGCAAGACAACTCACAGAGAGAAGATTATAAGCAAAACGGGGCACATTAAGACAAAAGTAAGTGTAAAATCAGACGACAAGGACACATCACCCTTATGTTGGACATGTGAAATAGACCCATCAGTAAGACATACAGTTTGAGCAGTAATAGAGACAAGAGGAATAAACAGAAAAACCACCGGTCTTATGATCATTGGCCCCAGAATCCAATACCCAAGTAGGTGCAGTGCGAACATGAAAGGCTGTAGGAGTACCTATAACGAGTGTAGCAGTGGAAGGAACACTTGGAGACATGGTAGTGAATGAACCAAGTTGCTCTTGAAAGTGACCAATCTGAGATTGCAGCTGATGAAGATCAATAGGATGAGTCGCTGAGGAAACATCTAAACGAGGTATAATGCTTTGAGTTTGTGTAACAAAATCAGACATGCTGAAACACTACGAGGCCAAAGTAACGGCGTCACACAAAAGAGATGTTATCGAATACACTGGTAGCCTAACACAATAGAAAATCAAACTAGAAAGTGCTTACCACATCAGCACATGAACCCTATAAGGGTAAAGAGGAAGAACAACACCTAGGAGGAGAAGCCGCACTAGACCCAAGGCAGGGAGGGTCTAGTCGTCACCTAAAGGAAGCTGTGGCAGTGAGGAAAAGGGACTGTCGAGGGCTGAGAAGGAAGATGAAAACTTTCACTGTGAAAGGAAGAAGAATGGCTGTCGGGTGGCTGGATAGGTGGTTTAGGGCTGCCGGCAATAGAAGACAAGGGTGATGGTTGCTAGGGTTTGGCTTTGATACCGAGAAGAGAGTTATAAAAATATTGCTTACCCTAATTTGTGAGACTGTATCTATATATAATCAATATAAGATACATGAAAAAAGGAATTAAATAATTACACAATTAAATCTAAAATTAAATTCCTAAATTAAATATACAACATTTCATATTTTAACATTTCATATTCCAACAATTGTGACGTTAAAAAATATATTCTTACATCTCTGATTTAAAATAATAATAAAAAAATTCATATAAGATAAAATCCGTATGGTCACTGATGACATTTCACCTGTAAAATTAATGTATGAGTCGCTATTTCTTTCCTCTCCATGGCCAACCCGTAACAAAACAAAAAACATACACACACACAAACCACCTTTTGGAAAGGCAAAAATATTTTGTTGTTTTTAATAACTTTTTTTAACTGGACTTATTCTATTTGAAAATTGTTAAAATAGTCAAATATATATATAGTATTTATTTTATTTTATATTTAATTTTTGTTACTTTACAAGTCTTGAAACACACAATAATTTTCCACTAACTATTTTGTTTCACAAATAAAATGTCTCAACAAAGCACTCTCTTTCATTAATTAAAAGGGTAAATTACACTTATCTCCTTTATATTTGCGGAGGCTAATATAGCTAGACAAGCTAAGCCAACAACCGAATGGAGAGGCAACAAAAGACAAGGCTTCTTTTTGAAGAAGAAATTTCTGAAAAAGCAAAACACGGGCTCCTCAACTACCTCAAGTTCTTCCCGAGACACGACTCCCATGTGCAACACTTGTAGCAAAAGGCACCGTGGAGTTTGTTACCGTGCATCGGGAGCCTGTTTTAAGTGTGGGAAACAAGGGCATATAGCCCGAGATTGTAATCAGAATAGTGGGAAGATAGCTGCTAGCTCCACTGCTTCAATGGACCGAAGGTCGTTTTGATGTAAATGAATGGACCAAAGGTCATTTTGACATGAAAGAGTAGGCCAAAGGCTGCTTTGATATGAAAGAGTGGGCCAAAGGCCGTTTCGACATAAGTGAATGGGCCGAAGGCCGTTTCGCCATGAATGGAAATCCGAATGGGCCAAAGGCCAGAATGTTAGGACTACAGTTACTTGATTTGAATGTTGTATAGATATATACATATATATTCGCTAAATAGAATTATGAATTGGGCCCAAGGCCGTTTGGTGCATGTTGTTCTACGTATTGTTATATAACTGTCACGTTTGATATTATTCACTGGGCTATCGCTCACGCTCATTCATGTGTTTGTAGGTGAGCCAAGGGAAGTCCAAACCCAGCCCCAGTGAAGTCTGCTAGGAAAAATCCGAGTTTTGGGGAAGTCAGCCTTGCGTCTCACTCTTGAGACCTACCCTTGCCTTTTGCTATGTAATTATATCTTGTCTTGCCGGCAGGGACTTTATGTAAATATGTAATAGTCTGTCATAGGTTGACTTGTTTTGGATGATCCTGTTTGTAATGAATTTTGTGAAACTGTACTTTTGAACTGTGGGTTATTAACGTAACTGAATATGGTCTGTTGATGTGCATATAAGCACGGCTCTATGGACAAAGTTTTTATTCATTGCTTCCGTTTGGCCCCTTTACTCTGACAACTTATGTCTGTTTTGGTTTGAGGCCGTAGGTAATCTCAGGATTACTGGCCGGTTATGTCCTTAACCCATAGGGGCGGGTTCGGGTCGTGACATACACCTAGAATGGTCATCTATAAAAGTGACATAATAGCGATGCCCAGAAAAAGCCAAAAGAGGAGAAGGACCCCAGATATTAGAGTGAATAAGGTCAAACATACATAAGGCACGATACATGCGAGGAATATAAGAAGTACGAGTATGTTTAGACAACTCACAAACAACACAATGAAACTGATGATCCTTACAAGCTTTATTAAGTGATGGAAAAAGTAAACATAAATAATTAAAGTTTGCATGTCCTAAACGAGCATGCCATAAGGCTAATGTTTGAAAAGAAAACACATAGGAAGACGACTCAGGTAACACAACTGCTTGTAGGCCACAAGTGGTAGGATGAGAAGGTGGCGGGTCCCTGAAGTAGTATAGCCCGTCGGGCTCAAACCCCCTGCCAAAAATTTTCTTCGAAGTCAGGTCCTGTAATAAACAATGAGTAGGTGAAAACATAACAGCACAATGAAGGTTTTAGCAAGACAACTCACAGAGAGAAGATTATAAGCAAAACGGGGCACATATAAGACAAAAGTAAGTGTAATATCAGACGACAAGGACACATCACCCTTATGTTGGACATGTGAAATAGACCCATCAGTAAGACATACAGTTTGAGCAGTAATAGAGACAGGAAAGGATAAACAGAAAAACCCACCGGTCTTATGATCATTGGCCCCAGAATCCAATACCCAAGTAGGTGCAGTGCGAACATGAAAGGCTGTAGGAGTACCTATAACGAGTGTAGCAGTGGAAGGAACACTTGGAGACATGGTAGTGAATGAACCAAGTTGCTCTTGAAAGTGACCAATCTGAGATTGCAGCTGATGAAGATCAATAGGATGAGTCGGCTGAGGAAACATCTAAACGAGGTATAATGCTTTGAGTTTGTGTAACAAAATCAGACATGCTGAAACACTACGAGGCCAAAGTAACGGCGTCACACAAAAGAGATGTTATCGAATACACTGGTAGCCTAACACAATAGAAAATCAAACTAGAAAGTGCTTACCACATCAGCACATGAACCCTATAAGGGTAAAGAGAGAAGAACAACACCTAGGAGGAGAAGCCGCACTAGACCCAAGGCAGGGAGGGTCTAGTCGTCACCTAAGGAAGCTGTGGCAGTGAGGAAAAGGGACTGTCGAGGGGCTGAGAAGGAAGATGAAAACTTTCGGCTGGGTGAAAGGAAGAAGAATGGCTGTCGGGTGGCTGGATAGGTGGTTTAGGGCTGCCGGCAATAGAAGACAAGGGTGATGGGTTGCTAGGGTTTGGCTTTGATACCGAGAAGAGAGTTATAAAATATTGACTTACCCTAATTTGGGTGAGACTGTATCTATATATAATCAATATAAGATACATGAAAAAAGAATTAAATAATTACACAATTAAATCCTAAAATTAAATTCCTAAATTAAATATACAACATTTCATATTTTAACATTTCATATTCCAACAATTGTGACGTTAAAAAATATATCTTACATCTCTGATTTAAAATAATAATAAAAAATTCATATAAGATAAAATCCGTATGGTCACTGATGACATTTCACCTGTAAAATTAATGTATGAGTCGCTATTTCTTTCCTCTCCATGGCCAACCCGTAACAAAACAAAAAACATACACACACACAAACCACCTTTTGGAAAGGCAAAAATATTTTGTTGTTTTTAATAACTTTTTTTAACTGGATCTATTCTATTTGAAAATTGTTAAAATAGTCAAATATATATATAGTATTTATTTTATTTTATATTTAATTTTGTTACTTTACAAGTCTTTGAAAACACACAATAATTTTCCACTAACTATTTTGTTTCACAAATAAAATGTCTCAACAAAGCACTCTCTTTCATTAATTAAAAGGGTAAATTACACTTTATCTCTTTTATATTTGGTTATTTTTTATTTTAACCCTTCATATTTTAAATTTTTCTCAATTAATTTCTAAAATTAATTTTTGTTAAAAATTAAACAGAAAATAATATATTAATTGCCTTCTAACATAAAAATATTGAGAATCTCCCCAAACTGCAGTGCACATCCGAACTTAAGAATCTCCCCAGGCTGTCTCACAAGAGAAAAGATAGGGATCATGAAAAAACTTTCATGAAACTGATCATGAAAAATTTATAACCATTGGATTACCTTGATTAGTGTGTGGTGTTTTATTTTAAGTGTAATCCAAAGGTCATAAATCTTTCATGATCATTTTCATGAAAAATACCTCGCATTGCTCAACATAAAAATATTGAGAATCTCCCCAAACTGCAGTGCACATCCGAACTTAAGAATCTCCCCAGGCTGTCTCACATTCACACCCATGCATGCAATGCAACCAAAGGAACGGGAGGAACATATTAAGCAGTACGCAATAAAAAAAAAAATGTATTTCGAAAATTAAAATATTAATTAGATTTTTTTTGAGTACATACTCGTGCTCCTCCATATTTCACTAAATTAAAATGCATACCATACACTCTTTCATCTTATTTTTATACACAAACAAAACACAGACACAAACAGTACAGTATTCTTTCCAGCAACATAGACAACAAGGTCTAACAATTTGGGTACTACTAGTAGCCCACCCAGCCAGCCTAGCTTTGTTGTTTCCATTCTCCTGAAGGTGGTGTAGTAGTAGTAGCAGCAGCAGGAGTAGTAGCAGCAGCAGCAGCAGCAGTAGCAGTAGGAGGAGAACGCAAATCCAAATGCAAAGTCTTATGTACAGCAGCGACGACTAGAGGTAGATAGATGAGCATACCAACACAAACAATAGCAGTCATCAATAGAGTTGCTCCTTGTGTGTATGGGCTCTTGCAAGACAGCCTTCCCAACCTTATCTGAATCAGATAAAACATCGAAAGCATTAAGAAAAAACAACCCAAGAACGACGCCAACACTGACAAGATGAGGAACACCCATTTCCACGACGTCAGACGTGCTTTTCCTGGTTTATAGGTCTCAAAGTTTTCGTCGTTAAGTTGTACATTAACTTTCAATGACTTTGCAACGAGGCTTGAGAAGAGGAAGAAACTGAACGCTACGACTTCTAGTACCACGAGGTTCTTGGCCTGTCGGGGCTCCGCGTCGCACTCCGGTCGGTTCTCCAGGCTGCGTTGGCCTGGCGTCGCGTACGATAGTCCCACGAATACCGCTATGCTCAACAGTGAATTCACGTTAACCAGGTCGTCCAGTCCACTCTTCAAAATTTCTTTTATTTTCTTTTTTCGTTCTTCTTCATCTTGCCTGCAATAACAAATAAACAAACATAATAATAATACACAGAACGAAAGTGATAAGAACAAAGTCACTCACTAATCAGAATAACCATTAGAAAAGTAAGACATGTGGAGAGAGAGAGAGAGCGGTACCCGTTCATGTTGTTCTTCTTTTATTGTTTCTTCTCTATGCGATTATGTATTGTGGATTGTGTTTCTTCTTTAAAAAGAGTACTCTTATATGAAACTTCTATTGGTTAAAGTCGGATTGGCTCATTTTAATTTTTTGTTCGGGTATGTTGGAGTGTAGACATGTGGAGTATAGACATGTGATACTCCATAATATTTTGATTGGTGAAGAGACGTAAAGGTTCACAATTTATGTTAGGAATGGGAAATAATAGAAAGTTAAATAATTAGTGATTGGCTTGGAGTATGAACACGTAATGATCTGAGGTCATGTTTGATTCACAATATTAATAGTGAAGTATTAATAATCCTATTAAATTAGTGTGGTATTCACTATCTAATTGGATTAATATCCATTAGATTAATAATCCCACCCCTACCCCATTACTAATAATCCTACAAATTTGTTGGATTAATTATCCATTGGATTAATAATCCTAAACTAAAATGTTAAAACAAACATAGGATAATTGGACCTACGGATTAATAATCCTAATCCCATGCTCTAATCCACCCAATCAAACATGCCCTTGAGAGTATTGAATAATTTTCCATGAAATTGTTATGTATTTTCTTAGCTTGCTTGTGTACAGTTTTAAAGCAAACGGGAGATGGATCACGACCGCACGATCATTGGCATGGGCAGAATCTGAATTTTATTCAGGAAAAAGCTGGAAATGTCTACCCGGCTTCAAAATTTACTATTTCTTCATATTTGTTGTCACAATATTAATAATGAAATTTTTATTTTTTTAATTAATAAAAAAAATTATTAATGATATCAAAAAAAAGTTAGAAAGAAAAGTACAAAATGTATAGTAGTTAAAACAACTCATTCCAACTAAATTGGCATAAGAGAAAACTCCCAATCATATACAAGCGCCTTTAAAAATCAAGAAAAATAAATATATATATTTAAAAAAAAAAAAAGAAAAAACACCAGCCGAAACCGAAGCAGAGAAACCCAATTCAATAACCAGAAAAAACAGAGTAGATGTGATCTAATTTTTTCTTTTACCATTTGTCCAGGGTGTATGCAGTAAAGGAAACAATTGAGTTAATAGTTTGATACCTGATTAATCAAAGATAATTTTTTAATTTTTTTTTTAATTTTTTACATATGAAAGAAGTATTTCATGAGAAATTCTAACAAGTTTTTTTTTTTTTTTGAAGTTTTGAATTATTAATTAGATCTTAATAATTAGATCTTAAATATATATTTTTTTTGAAGTTTTTTTACTTTCTTGTTTTCCGTATTTTTTTGTTTTTACTGAATTTTTAAAATATTTTAAACAATTTTTTTTTTTCTTTCTAGACATACCCAATATAAATATACCTAAAAAGTAAAAATTTTTGAAAAAAACTTATTAAAAATTCACTAAATACAAAAAATATAAAAAAAAATTCAAGAATTCAGTACATTTTTTATATTTTTATGTATTTATTAATTTTTTAAAATATTTTTTCACAAATTTTTTACTTTTTAGATAAATCTAACTAAAGTGCATCTTAAAAAGTTAAAAAAAAAATGTTTAAAATTTTAAAAATATTCACTAAAAACAAAAGAATGCGAAAATTAAAAAATTCGATTTTCAAAAAGCTTAATTCAGAAAACTCTAACCAAACATCAGTGTGTTTGGTTTGAGTTTTTTGAATTAAGTTTTTTAAAAACTATATATATTTTTTTTGAAGTTTTTTTACTTTCTTGTTTTCCGTATTTTTTTGTTTTTACTGAATTTTTAAAATATTTTAAACAATTTTTTTTTCTTTCTAGACATACCCAATATAAATATACCTAAAAAGTAAAAATTTTTGAAAAAAACTTATTAAAAATTCACTAAATACAAAAAATATAAAAAAAAAATTCAAGAATTCAGTACATTTTTTATATTTTTATGTATTTATTAATTTTTTAAAATATTCTTTCACAAATTTTTTACTTTTTAGATACATCTAAATAAGGTGCATCTAAATAAGTTATTTTTTTTAAATTTCAAAAATATTTAATAAAAACACAAAAACCAATAAACTTAATCTAAAAAACTCAAACCAAACACGCTGATTATTTTTTATTCTTTACTCTTTTTTGACATTTGAAGATTGTTTAAACGGATTCCAAATACAAACCTTTATTTTTTTTCTTTTCTGTGACATTGAATATCTCTTAAATACATAAATCCCAAATGTAATTTTTTTTTCATTCACTCAAATACAGACCTTTATTCCTTTCTTTCTTGTGATATTTGAAGTGAGCTTAAACACAAAGATCTCAGATACAAATCTTTGTTCCTTTCTTTACTATGATATTTGAAGATCACTTAAACATGATCAAAACAAACTTTTATTTCTTTCTATTTTGTGAGATTTGAAGATTGCCTAAATACAAAAATCCCAAATATAAACCTTTTATTCCTTTCTTTTTTGTGATATTTGATCATCATTCTCAAATACAAACTTTTATTCCTTTCTTTTCTGTGATATTTAAATATTGCTCCCAAGTACAAAACGATATTCCTTTCTTTCATGTGCTATTTGAATATCACTTTAACAAAGAAATCCCAAATACAAGCTTCACATAGCTTTCTTTTGTATGATATTTGAAGATCAATTATGCTCTATGTAAAGCTTGAGCACCAAACAAACTAGTTTCTTTATGGCCATCCTTTCAAACTGCAAAATTATAGCTAAACTACTTCAAAACCAATAAATAAATAAATAGATAAAGTGAGAAGGAAAATAATTTTGATTTGTCTTCTACCTCAAACTTTGAAAATATTAGATTAAAACTTTATGGAATGATAATTAAGCAGCCATGAAAAGAGCAGTAATTAAAATTTTCATTATATTTTCTTTGGAAAATGTTTGGTAGCCCGAATTTTCATGGCTCGAATGGTTCGAATGTGTCAAAACGACGTCATTTTACACCCAAAACGACGTTTTTGGTAGCCCGAATTTTCATGGCTCGAATGGTTCGAATGTGTCAAAACGACGTCGTTTTACACGCAAAACGACGTTGTTTTAAATGTTTCGAGCCATTCGAGCCATAATTTTTTGGGTCACCAATCAGTGTTGATTTTCTTTTCATCACAACTAAACGAAGAACAATTATTTATTGTGCATATTATTTTTCTTCTCTCTCCCAGAAGACAAAATTGCATCATCAGATCCTTCTTACATTTGTTTATAGAGTATGTTTATCAACGTGACATCGTTAGATTAGTGTGATGAAGAAGATTTATTAGGTCTCCATTCCAATATATAAACTTGCAACATATTAATAAAATTTAAGTTCTATGTCAATTTAAAATTTAAGATCTATGTTTAAACTGAAAATGAAAATATGTTACATGTTTCACAATCATTAATTATGAAATGGACAACTTCATTGTGTTGAGATTATATTATAAACAATAAAATTATCTCTCTCATAAATTAAGCTTTTAAATGAGTTGATATTCAACCATTCAATAATACTACTATACGGATCAAAAAATATATTAGTATAGTCTTATTTAATGTAACTTTTCTCATATTGAAAATTGGTAATCATAAAGTATATCCCAACCTCGTAATTTGTTTTTTAACATTTTGTTTTAGCTCATATGTTATAAATAGAAACTGCAATAAACACTTTGCACAAACTCTCATAAAAAAAAAGAAGAAAAACTTCAATATATAAGTTGCATGGAATAGTTCGAATGCCAGATGATAAAGGAAGCTTATTGAAACACAATCTACACACATAACCGCACAGAGAAGAACACAAACAAGAAGCAAGAAGAAGAACCAAACATCATGGCTCTGTATTTCTCTCTCTCTCTCTCTCTCTCTCTTTGAAATGGTTATTCTGATCAATGACTTTGTTCACATTTTGTGTACCTTTTTTCTTTTTCCAGGTTAGCAGAAACAGGAACAGGAAAGCTAAATAGCGAACAAGTAATAGAAATTTACAACTTTTTGGAAAGGGACTGTGCTAAAGAAAGAATGGAGAGAAAGGAGCGAGAGAATGGAGAGAAAGGAGCGAGAGAAAAGGAGGATGGAAGCCAGTACTTTCTGGTAAAGGGAGACGTTTCTCCAGAAGCAACGAGGATGGTAGACCAGGGTTGTTTACTATCTTTGTAGACAACCTTCCTTGGTGCGTGAGTCCAAAAGGTCTTCATGCTCTATTTACAAAGTTTGGAGTTGTCAGAGATGTTTTCATTCCAAATAAAACCAGGAAAGTGACAAAGTCAAGATTCGGGTTCGTCAGGTATGATTGCCAAGTTGCAGCCGCAATGGCGGTCCAAAAGGCCAATGGGGTGTGGTGTGACGACAAAGAGCTTAAGGTTAAGGTAGCAGCGTTTGGGAAAGATGACTCTGTCAAACCCTTTAGCAAGAACCTATTGGTCATCAATAAAGAAGGAAGAAATGAGGAGCGACTTAAACCACCATCAGGTCGAATACCTATATTGGGGTTTGTTGGTCAAAAATCTTATGTCGAAGCCTTATTTGATGATCCTGCTAAGGGGAGAGAGAGCTGTGTAGTATATGCTAACGAAGTTGGGAATGGCTGGCATTATGATAGCCTTATTGTTAAGCTGAAGTGCTTCCTAGCCTTTCCCGAGTTTCAAAAAGCTATTCTTGAAAAAGGTTCTAAGGATATTGCAGTAAAGGAAAGTGAGGGTAGAACAACCATAGTCTCATTCAAATTAGCTGATCATCTTAAAGAGAATCAAGTCTTACTTCATGATTGTCTGAAGGATTAGTGTGAGTCTGTATCCTTATGGGGGTAGAATGGTTACATTGAATAAGAACGAGGAGTATGGTTAAGCTGCTACGGTGTGCCACTCAATCTTTGGAACAACGACACTTTTATGAAGCTCAGAAGGTTATGGGGGGTGGTACTCCAGATTGATGAGGAAACTTCTAATCAAACATCATTCGGGTATGGGAGAATTAGAATTGCAACTAATTTTATGGACCCCATTAATACAGTTGTTCAAGTGAAGTGCAGAGACAGAAGTTACCTAGTTCGAATTTGTGAGGAGCAAATTGTGATTTCCAAGGTGGTGAATGAGGTTTGTATGTGCACTATGCATGAGTGCCTTAGCTCTAACATACATGAGAAGCATGTATAAGAGGTAGG